ACGCTGGGCAACGCCTTGGGATGGCATGTCGGCCGAGGCCGTGGCAGGGCATGCCCGTCTCGCCCTGCTGGGCAACGCTGTGGCGTGGCATGCTGGCCAAGGACGTGCCAGGGCCAAGGACGTGCCAGGGCCAAGGCCGTGGCATGGCATGCCGGCCGTGGCTTGCAGGGCAACGCCGTGGCTCTGCATGCCAGCCTTCTTGGCATGCTGGGCATCGCCGCGGCAAGGCATGCTGGCCAACGCTGCGGCACGGCGTGCTGGACAAGGCGGTGCCATGGCATGGCATGCTGACCAAGACAGTGCCATGGCATGCTGGGCAACGTCGTGGCAAGGCATGCGGGACGAGGCCGTGGCATGGCATGTTGGCCAAAGAGAGAGAGAGAGAGAGAGTTGGGGCTCCTCGTTTTGAGCCTGCACCGTTTAACCGACCTCTACCCCCGACCCGAATCGAGTCTAGAACCCTCCACAGCTATTACACGTCATGTTTTCCTAATTAAAGCCGACTTCAACGGCAGTGTTGTTTGGAAACAATTTTTTTTTGTTTGATTTTTTGATTTTATGATTAATTGAAGGCACATTTATATATAATTTTTAATTTATGAATTTATATTTTACTAAATTTTAATTAAGATTTTTTAAATCTTTAGGTCGTATTAAATTTTTAATAGTTGAAATTATCTTTCAAAAAATAGTTAGAAAATTTACCCATAAGTCTTAGTTTTTGAAACGTTAAACTATTTAATCCTAAAAGTTTTCTTATGCTCCATTTAGTCTCATTTTTACATCAACATGATGTGAATGATGTAAATGATCTGATGTTTCATTCTATAATTTCAAAATTTATTGAAATCTGATGAACATTAGATGTTTTTCATCCTATATTTTCAAACATTATTGAAATTTGATGAACATCAGATGTTTGAACATAAAAGTTGAAGGAAATAATTAAAGACACCATAAAAAAAATTGAAAAAAAAATATTTGGCCATCGGAATATTTTATTTTAATTTATTTCAATTTTAATACTTAAAAAATAATAAAAATTACTAAAAATACTCAAAAAATTCTAGAAAAATTCCAACAATTATAAGATGAGGCACTAGTAATTATAGTAATTTTTTTAATTATTTTTTTATTTTTAATTTATTTTATTATAATTGATATGGCATGCTGCTGGCTTTGGCTGGTCTGCCTTGGCCGTGGCATGGCATGCTGCTGGCCTAGTCCTTGGCATGGCATGCTGCTGGCCTTGGCCTTGGCATGGCATGTTGCTGGCTTTGGCTGGGCTGCCTTGGCCTTGGCATGGCATGCTGCTGGCCTTGACCTTGGCATGGCATGCTGCTGGCTTTGGCTGGCCTGCCTTGGCCAGGGCATGGCATGCTGCTGGCCTTGGCCTTGGCATAGCATGCTGCTGGCTTTGGCTGGGCTGCCTTGGCCGTGGCATGGCATGCTGCTGACCTTGGCCTTGGCATGGCATACTGCGGGCTTTGGCTGGGCTGCCTTGTCCTTGCCATGGCATGCTGCTGGCCTTGGCCTTCGCATGGCATGCGGCGGGGTTTGGATGGGCAGCCTTGGCCGTGGCAAGGCATGCTGCTGGCCTTGGCCTTGGCATGGCATGCTGCTGGCTTTGGCTGGGCCACCTTGGCCGTGGCACGGCATGCTGCTGGCCTTGGCCTTGGCATGGCATGCTGCTAGCTTTAGCTGGGCTGCCTTGCCCTCGGCATGGCATGCTGCTAGCTTTGGTTGGGCCGCCTTGCCCGTGGCATGGCATGCTGCTGGCCTTGGCCTTGGCATGGCATGCTGCTGGCTTTGGCTGGGCTGCCTGGGCCGTGGCATGGCATACTGTTGGCCTTGGCCTTGGCATGGCATGCTGCTGGCTTTGGCTGGGCTGCCTGGGCCTTGGCATGCCATGCTGTTGACTTTGGCTGGGCTGCCTCGGCCTTGGCATGCCATGCTGCCGGCCTTGGCCTTGGGGCTAGGCTGCCTTGGCTGCGGTTCTTATCACTAGACGTGCGTTGCGTGCGAAGGCGTGCAAAGGCGTGCGCGACCATGCGCGCAACACGCGCACCACTGTCAAAAGACCGCACGCGCGGTATTCGCACAGGCCACGCTGCCGACGCTGCGGGCATGCCAGGCCGCCCAGGCCGTGCGCATGCCATGCCGTGCTGCCCACGCCGCGGGCATGCCAGGCCGCCCAGGCCGTGCGCATGCCATGCCGTGCTGCCCACGCCGCGGGCATCCCAGGCCGGCTGCATGCCAGGCCGCCCAGGCCGTGCGCATGCCATGCCGTGCTGCCCACGCCGCGGGCATCCCAGGCCGGCTGCATGCCAGGCCGCCCAGGCCGTGCGCATGCCATGCCGTGCTGCCCACGCCGCGGGCATCCCAGGCCGGCTGCATGCCAGGCCGCCCAGGCCGTGCGCATGCCATGCCGTGCTGCCCACGCCGCGGGCATCCCAGGCCGGCTGCATGCCAGGCCGCCCAGGCCGTGCGCATGCCATGC